GATACGTGAAACCTTAAGAGTAAAATGGTTAAACATATAATAAGTATGGACATATTTCCGACAATTTAGAGATGATCTAAACGTGATATAAGACACAATACCCAACACTAAATACAGCTTTTTGAACAAATGTAGAAAATTACCAAAAATTATTTTATTTAAAATAAAAATATAATGTGCCAGCCACTATTATTAAGATATACATTAAGATATTTGTATTAAAATAAATCAAAAATTGTATGTCTTTAAATATCTCAAAAAAAGCCAAAATATTTTGAAAATGATGTAACGTCTAGAAAAATCTAATAATTTAGAAATTTGGTGAAAATTTCAAGTATATACGGTTAACTATTGTAAGTAATCATATATTTTGAATTTGATGAATAACTAAAATCTATTTTTTCAAAATTAGTGTTGCGTATAAATACATGATATTAAATACATTTTCTGATTTTCCGTAATATTTTTGTTAATTTTTTGTTTCAAATGTAATAACTAATAACTAATAACTCGTAAATATAAAAAAAAATTATAAATTAGTAATAGGTATATAAAAACAATGTTTAAATTTCAGCAATAAAGAAAAGAAAAAGAAAAGAATGATGGTTGAAAAGGTTATAAATATGAATACAATTTTTTTTTTAATCGTGATTTACATACCAATAATCAATATTATAAAAACTAGATCAGTTTAATATCATTAATTATAAATGATAATTAATAATTTTGTAGTGTTTAAAATTATTTTAGATATTTATAATTTATAATAGATACACCTAATATTAATAATACTATTATTCATATTCAAACTTTGTTTATTGTATGATTTTGAGCAGAGTAGGAAGGATAGTACTAAATAACCAAACGGTTATTCGTTGAAATTATATAATTTAATTTATCATATCTRCACCGCGGTCACCGTGGCGTTGTAAACTGGTTAAATAAAATTGTAGTCTTGAATTTTGAGTATATATATTGCATACACATCACGAAATAAGTTATAATTTTATAAGTCGTTACTTGTCTTGTTGAGTATAGATTTAAATTTATAATAATAGTTAAACTAAAATATTGAAAAAAAATAAATAAAAATTGACTTATAATTATACAACTATTATATTAGTATAAATTAAAATCAATATGAAATATATATTTGAAAAGAGGTGATAGATTAAAATTATACGTAAGCTAGTTCAGTTTTACTAATTCAACCTAAGGAACCAAAACAGTAGGTGACCCACAATTTAAAATATTTTTATTTTTATTTTTTGGCTTATATAGAAAAGTCAAAATGTTCTTAAACATTATTATTCAATAGTCAATAGTAGTATATTTTTGGTATTAATAAATTACATTATCTTTTATAATAACTGCAATTATTTTTAAACAATTATTTGTCATCACTTGTGAGTTGTGACTATATATTGCACTATGTTAATAGTTAATATACTATAGCTAGGTACCTTTATAGCAAAAATAAATAAATATACAACGAAACAATTTTTTTTTTTTGTTATGGCAAGGACGTAATTTTCATTCATCATTAATGATATTTACATAATAACATCATATAGTGTCATCACAATAATAATTTACACATAATATTATAACTCGTATAATATTCTTTATGGTTGATACTTGTAAATATAAATAATTTGTTAAGATAATGTTTTAAAAATTTRGGTTGATTGATGAAAAACTAAATTGTTATAAATTTATAATATTCGAAATTCGAATATTTAACACAATAAAAACAATTTCAAAGTTTATAGTTCGTTCTATTGTTTTGTTTTAAATCGAACTAYCGAGATATTGTGTTCAAAACAATGTCGTACAAACTATTTTAAAATAATTAATAGTTTTCAATAAGAAATTTGTATTAAAATAGAAACATCTAATATTATGTTCAATGCTTAAAGATAATAATATTTTTATACTTATTTCATGATTATATTATATTATTTGAAATTGAAACTATTAAAATTCCACAATTCTAATTTTCAGATTTATTTTAAAAAATGGATCCACTTGAMGATGTTGAGTATTGTGAATCCCACAATCACCTGCTTAAAAGACCACCTGTAGATATCGAATTTTCAGACTTGACTTACAGTGTACCACAAGGACGAAATGGTGAGAAATTAAAAAAATATAAATATTATTGACCTTTTTACGATAATTATTTTTTTTTTTAATTATGACCTTATCAAAAAGTATTGTGTTCGTTGCATAACTATATAATATTAAAATACAAATTTTAGACGATTATACAGTGAGATAATTAATCAAACATTATAAACATATAATTTTAAAATTGTATACACATATTGTATGTACGTAAATATAATATAATATATGATGACAGAAATATTTTAAATTGTGGTCATTTGTTTTTTTTTTTGCGTAGCAGTCCTTGTATCGGTAAATTTAAGGAAATAATATTTAACAATTAATATACGTTCATTATTATATCATTACTATTTCGATATAAGTATATAACCTATACAAATAAAAAATGCATTGACGTAGATCATTAATAATAGTAATTTAAATAATATACGATTAGTGATTACGTTGTCCTATACTCGTCAGGTAAATATAWATATGGTCGACGAACCGATATCGTGAATTTACAATAATAATTTATTGCTTGTGACTTACCTACAGCTATGATGACATTTGAGAATAGTTTTTTTATTTAATGACTTAATTATTATTCAATATGGTGGACATATTTTTGGGTACCACTCTTCTATGTTTACTCACCTCAGTACAACAAGATAATAGTGTATTGTTGTATTATTTTTGTACATTTAAATAGTAAACAATCCTGTTTAAAAATTCGAACATTTTCACAGTTGATTACTAGGCTGAATAATTTACAATCATTTTTTTATACTGACCATGATTTGTTGAACACATAAAACTTAAAAATATCGACAATATCTATAGGTACTATCGCTTTATCCATTAAAAATCTTCTATAAACGGTTAACTCAAAAATAAACGTATTTATATAACTATTTAAAACACGGTAGATAATAAAACGTCATGGATAAAGCAAATTTGTAAAACTAGAATTAGATACAGAATTAATAGAACTAATTTTATGTTATTTGCAGGTAATTTTATCAGAATGAATTGACTTATTATTTAGCTTAAAGGTTAAAAACCCGTTTCTACATACCTTTTTAAAAATGTTTTGATTTTCAAGCGCAAGTATGACTTATGAGTTATGTAAAATATTGCATTTCAAAAATGCTCATTTAAAATGTTATAACCAAACCGTGAAAATCAAAATGGAAACATAAATTATTCTTATAATGCGTCAATTCTATCTAATATAAAACTATCATCAGGAAATTGGTTCTGTCGAATACAAATTCGCTATGTTGGTCGTTTGTAGAACGAAGACAAAACTTTTTGTCCTCCTAAAAACAATCAAATTAACGATATTAGACACATTATAAATTAAACACTATTAAGTATTAATTTCCTAATATAAATCGCGCAGTCCTTTCTCTTTTACACACGAGTACAAATTATAAAGAAAAAGTTTTGACATATTTTATATTTATGAAACGAAAATAATAATAATAATTTAAAAATTTAATCTAATAATCTAGGTGTTTTTTTAACTTATACTTGATATTTTTAAGTTACAAATTATTATAAGTATATTATTTTCAAATAGAATGATAGACCTACCTAATAATAATGTAGTTGAAGTAATTTAATATTTATTATATATTGATGATAATGATGATATTAAATTWAAAAAGTTCAAGCAGTCAAATATTCCTATATTCAAAGAAATACATTTGAGACACGATTTACTGGGATTTTAATTTAAGTACCTAGGTAAAAGGCTATTTATGTATATACTTAGTACTCACACTCTTTCTTTATTCAATTCATTCGTATACAACTACTACAAAAAATTCTAGCATTGTCATATTATGTGTAACCAACTTTATTAAAGATCAACGAAATCGGTAAATTTTTTTCAATTCTATTCTCCAGTAAAATTTTGTATAATTGTAATAAATTGTGTCTTATGAGCGTGGATGATTAAAAATAATGACGGTTTCAGATTAAAAGTTTTGAGTAAATGTAACTTGCTTCGCAGATTCCCGAGGCTCTAAAAATTGCGAGTTATTAGCTTTAGTATTAAAGAACATTGACCTCTTTAACGAAACYAGTTATTCGTTGCTAAATCTTAGGTAAAGGGAGAACATYAATAATCTATTCCTTGTTAAATAAACAGTTCGTTTAAAATTATGTTTCGAACACCTATGGTTCATTTATGTTTAATATGAAAAGTCAATAAAGTATAATGGTATTAAGTATAGTGATAAATATGTGACTTGTACCTAAATTATATAATATGAAACGAATTATTCACGAATATTATTCTAAGTAGGAATGAATGTTCAATGTTTGATACAATTTCTCAAAATATTTTATACCTTAATTATTATTTAAAGTGTGATTGTGTTTTCTAATTCATTATTTATGTAATTGAGCTGTTTTAAACTTTTTAAAGTGATAGAACCCTAATAAAATATGATATTTTTTCGAGACACTTATAAAAAAATATTTTTATATTTTCAAATGTACACTGCGACTTCAATTTATAGCTATTTGTATGTATATAAAACAAAATTGTTTTCCAAAATTCACTAACAATTGTATATTTAGTCGAGTTCATTATTATTTTTACCAATTTATATTATATATTACATGTTGTAACATAACCCTAGCAGATGACTATAATAACAGCCGAAGTTGAATTAGATCAATAAAAACGTATTTTTCTATATAATGTTTATTGCTTAAATTTCCAATTTAATTATTCTGAGATAATTTTTTTTTGGTCATTACAAAGGTGATATGCCGGATATAAAGGTCACACGCAGTCAATTTGAATGAATTAATTATGCTATGTTTTATCGTAGTATTTGTATTGTTTTAATTTCAATTAATTTATAATTGATTTTTTTATATAGTTACTAAAAAAAAATACTTAAAAAAAAAAATAATATGTTCAATAAATGCATGCAACGTAAATTTAAAAAAATACTCATAATACCTAAATATAATGTTTTAAAACGTAGTTATCTTATAAGTTAATGTTATAAATGTCAGAAAAATATAGAAGGTGTACAGGACGTTTAAAAATAATATCGACTACTAAAATAAACAAAACTAATCACTTAATATAAAAAAATACAGAATATATATATATATATTGTAAAAATTTAAAAATATAATTAAAATATCTTAATATGATATTGTTTATTTTTCCCTAACAGGATCAAAAATTATTCTTCGAAGTGTAAGTGGTTTGTTCAGATCAGGCGAACTGACAGCGATTCTCGGACCGTCCGGCGCGGGTAAAAGTACATTAATAAATGTATTAGCCGGTTATAGGTATGGATTGTTTCATAAACTTATTTATTATTAAATTATTGTAACATTRTTTAACACTACTATTCGGATTTGTTAGATGTGGTGACGCCCGAGGTTCTATCATGGTAAATAGCCGACCAAGAGAAATGAGATCATTTCGAAAAATGTGTCGTTACATAATGCAAGAAGATCTCTTACAACCAGCACTTACAGTATTAGAGTCTATGGAAATAGCTTCGGATTTAAAACTTGGTTATACGATTTCCAAAGAAAACAAACTTGAATGTGTAAAAATTAACATTATTACGAACGACCGAACAACACATTTTTTACGATGATAATCATTATTTTTTTTAGATCGAAGATATCCTTAAATTGCTTCGACTTACTAAATCAAAACACACACTCATGGAGAATTTATCTGGTGGAGAAAAAAAACGATTGTCAATCGCATTGGAGCTTGTTAACAATCCCCCTGTAATATTTTTGGATGAACCTACGACGTAAGTATTTTATTTTTTTATTTATATAAATATCATTACTATTATAGCGTTACATCAATCACTTTATTAAAATTATTAAATATCAATTAACACACGTCTTTGCATAGAGCATAAATATTAAAATACTGCATTAAAATAATTATTCAACAGATAAGACACACAATATAAATATATTTAAATAACAGTTAAGTGTGTAGATAAGAGTTTATATTTATAGGTAATAAATACAACATTTAAAAAAAAAATATATATTGTTTGCTCTACTCGAGTATCTTCAATTCTAAATAATACATATTATATAGGTTATACCAATGTATTTGACACCTGAATGCTGATAGTTGATGCAAAAATGTCTAAAGTAGTATACCATCTAAAGTATAGACCGCATTGCCATTGGGAAAACTATATCTGTGTCGTAGCGTTTTGATTTTTTAATAGCACTACTCAATATATGGTGATAATCAAATAAAAAATTTATGTTGTCAAACCGATAACTATATTCATGGTATTGAAATCATAAAAACGCTCTGACATAGGTAAAGTTTTTCTTTAAGTTTTGTAAAATGTTGATCATTTTACTATTAGTATAGTGCAAGAAAAKTTTCCCTCGAGAAATAGTTTTTACAACCTAACTATTTGGGTGGTGTATTTTAATTGTATATTATTTTTTTCCTTAGTGGTTTAGACGACTTATCCAGTTCACAGTGCGTGTCATTACTTAAAGATCTTGCCTATGGCGGTAGAACAATTATATGTTCTATACACACACCCAGTGCAAAATTATTTGCAATGTTTGATCACATATATATAGTGGCCGAAGGACAGTGTATGTTTGCAGGAGTCGGCCAGGATATGGTTCCGTACCTGTCATCCATAGGACTCAATTGTCCAACACACTACAACCCAGCGGACTTCAGTAAGCATTGATAAGATTGACAACGCATTAAGATCAATAAATTGGTTTTAAAAAGTTACTCTGTTGTGTTTTCTCCAGTGATCGAAGTTTGCAGTAGGGAGTATGGAGATTATTCGGAAAAAATGTCAACGGCCGTAGACAACGGTAAATGTTTGAGGTGGTTCAAAGATAATTCTGAAACAAGGAAGCCAATTATACGGCGAGCATCACAGTACGATGCGGTTTCCAATCATCTGTACGATTTTTCTAGTTCAGGATGGTCTCAATTTAACGTGCTCCTCAGGCGAATGATAATACAACATAAAAGAGACATTGTAATAAGACAATTAAAACAAAAATTAAACTATATTCTTGCTCTTGGAAAACATTTGACATTTTTATGATTTAATTTTAGACATATTTATTGTTCAAACTGTTCATGTACACATTTATCGGCCTAGTAGTCGGTGGCATGTTTTTTCAATTTGGAAATGACGCTTCCATGACTATTTTTAATTATGGTTTCATGTTTATTACCATAATCGTTTTTATGTATACACCACTTATGCCAGTATTGTTAAAATGTAAGTATCTTTGAGATTCATGATATATTACACGAGTTGTTAAACACTAAGGACATATTTAATTGCAGTTCCTACAGAAGTTCAGCTATTAAAACGGGAATACTTCAACCGATGGTATGGACTGAACGCTTATTTTTGTGCACTCACGTGTTCACAACTCCCGATGCAGGTAAAAATAATTGTTATAATAATTATGTCTAGAGCATGGATTTTTACATGCACTGAAATGTATCAAAATATGCCATTTGATATGCAGTGAAAATAGTGAAAATATGCGGTACCTAATAACTATTAAACTTGCAGTAATATGCAAAAACAATTTCATTGGCTTCAAACTATTAAAATTTGTAGAGATTACTGATGAAACTCAAAATTTGAAAAGGAAAAATATGCAATCGCATGAAAATCCGCGCTTTAAATTTACAACTAATAAGTTATAGCAAAAATATTATACAATATTATTATTAAATTTTATGTTTAAAACCATATCTATCAATTATATTATTATATATACCTTATAGATTATCTTATCGTCAATTTACATAGCGATAACTTACTTCTTGACAAATCAACCGTTGGAATGGGAACGAGGAATTAAATTTTCTGTAGTGTGTTTCATGGTGTCTTTGTCGTCAGAGAGTTTGGCGTACGCGATTTCTTCACAACTCAACGTTACGGTAAGTTATTTGAGATCTAATCTCTATATTGCGTTTAGGTGCATTAGGTCATTTTTTATCATCACTTTAGGAAAATTTTATTTTAAAAATATATAATATAAATTCCTTGAAAATACAATATGTTTAGATCGTTACAAAAAAATTAAACAAAATACTGGAGGACAACGTCAAAAAGGTTAAGTTAGGTWAGCAATTAGAAAGTAGAAATAACCGGGAAAATTATTTCACTGTATAGGGTATACTTATTATAGTACCTATAGATTTCAATTTTACCTCAGCATAGGTGGTCACTGTAAAGGATATGTTAAATTTCAACTGAATGATAAAATGATAAATAACTGTTTACGAAAAACGAGACAAAAAAGAGGGTTTAGCATTTATCTCTCAAAATATTTTACTTTTATCACATTTATATTCAGAGGACGCCACACCCGCATGTGTTGTCTCAGTCTTACAAACGTATAACGTAGCAAAATCTGTTTAGCGCGGGACAACTTTACTCCCTTTGTATTTATAGTAGAATTACCAAAATTCCACAAAGCATAGGTAAGAACTTTATCTGTGTCATAGCGTCGTTATTTTTTTGTAAACATAAATATAATTAAAGTTATAAGCTTAAGAAAATACATTTATTTTTTATTTTTTTCATTAAATTACTTAAAATTATTGGTTTGTGCTATCAAAAAAATAACGACGCTATGACACAGATAAAGTTCTTACCTATGCGTTGTGAAATTTTGAAAATTCTATTATAAATATTGAGGGAGAAAAGTTGTCCCGCGCTAAACAGATTTTGCCATGTTATACGTTTGTAAGACGGAGACAACACATGCGGGTGTGGCGTCCTCTTAAGTATTATAACTTATTACTTATTATTTTCTTAATTCGGTAGGTTGAACTGAATTTTAGTCAAACACATAGCTAACATTAAGTTACAAGTTATAACTTGGAAATAAATACTAACAAACTGTAGAATGGTGTGAATGGATGCGTGTTAGGTATAAGAATGCTCCAAATATTTTAAAAATCACATTATATATCAAAAATGATAATTTATGCAGTAACGAACACTTTTAAGTCTCTAAGGACTAAAAATAATATTTCTGGATTACACAGAACAAAATAACAAAATCCTTTTTTCAAAAATTAGAGTTGTCACGCTTTCCCAAGTTTTTGTTAGCTTTTTCCAATTATTAAGAATTGTATTCGCATTTTTGGCTATCCTAAGTATTAGATCAAATTCGCTTCTAGAAACAACTCTCAAAATTGAAGAATTTTCTATTTCAGTCATGATTAATAAATAAATTATAATTTATAAAAAATACTTACATTGACATACTAATTTTGAATACTGCTGATTTAAGTTTGAACCTTAAAAAAACGTATACCTACGTAGGAGAGGTTTATTAGAAATGTGTAGGTAATATTAATAAATCTATCTTATGTTATGTCTATAACARATATATTATTATTTATTCATTTAAGTTATTGATATTTAAATTTAATGTAGATTATTGGCACCTAATGTTTTAGAAGTAACAATTTAATTACCTATTATGATAGGAACTTAACTGATTTATGAGAACAATGTTTAAAATAAATAATAGATCACCAATCTGACTGAATCAATGTGACAAGCTGATATAATATGTGATATAATATTTACACTTGCAAGCTAATAACCTTTGCAGTTGAAGCTGTACCATAAATAAWAAAAAAAWAATAAAAATATTTACCCTATTGTTTTTAYAAGTTAGAATAYCACAATCCATGTTATAAAATATTAAAATTTTCTTATTTTAATTACCTACCATTAAAGTAACCCATTTAACAAATATACGAGACATTATTTATTTTTCTAGTAAATATAAAAGACGATTTTCGTCCTTCGTGAACAGTATCAATGTTTAAAAACACATGGTGTCGCCAGGGATGGAAATATGTAATTTACCCATCAATTAACGTCTATAATATACATGAACCGTGCGAAAAATGATTTCTAAGGTTTTAAATTAAATTAGAAAATAAAATATTAAGAAGCCTTTTAAAATTCAAACAAAAGTTAATTATTCAATAGGTAGATATTATACGGGTTACGGGTAGAGTTTTCTATTTCGTTACGCGTTTCCATCAAAATGGAATGCCGACAATATAAAAAAAATAAAAACAAGTTTCGTGCAGCAATTAATTCTGTGGACTGCGTCTACTTATATCATTGAACACATTACTATAGTTACTACCAAGTTACTTTGTATGTTACTAACATTTTTAACTATTAATACAATGCGCAGTTATTAGTGCACATTAATTCTTCAACTATACACAATGAAATAATACATTGATTGAGGATATATATATATATWTTTTTTTTGAAATTGTTGATATATCTATATCAAAATTTGAACTAGTAGTTTTTAAGTTTTACAACTTAGTGTACTAAGAATAATATTTCCATAGTAATGACAACGGGTTAAGTAAATATGGAGGTCTACATGATTTTAAAATATTCGTAATTAGTAATTACTATTGATTTCTCAATAAAAATATTTTTAAGCACAAAAATAGTATATCTAGTATTACATAATATAATAATATGTATAAATGATTTTCAAGGATTATTAGGTATCCTTAGTATAAACATTTTAATACTCAGAAACTATCACCTAAAGTACCATTTAGATACAAAATTTCTAAGAAAATTATCCACTAAATAATTTTCAGTAAAAAAAGGGTGGGCTCTCATTTGAAAAACTTAAGTTTGTATAGCCACATGACATTTCTTAAGCAGCACCAAAAATATCAATAATTTGAAAATGTGATCTTTAAGTGTAGGCACTCAAAATTATAAAAATCAGAATTTGAATAAATGTACTATTAAAGATATAAATTCAACCCAATTTATTTCTTTTGTCATGCATTAAAAATTATCTTGTACCTATGTATATATTTTTATTATTATAAAGTGTCCTGACACGTCATCTCAATTATTGATAAAATTAATTACATTTTTAACAGTTTATAATTGATAAATTATTACAATTATTTACAAAAAAATAAGGAATTTACATTGATAAATATAATGTATTAAATTAATGATGTTGAAGATAGGGCATCGTGAGAATGACCGCGCTTGAGTCGCTAGAGAGTAGGCTTGTCACTGAGTTTGATATTTTCGCACTTTTTGCATAGTTTAGTTTGCCAAAAATATTGATACTGAGTATTTTTTATGTGCATCTTGTATATACATTCGTGTAGATTTGATAAAAATATTTCCTTTTAATACTTTTTATAAAATAAGGGAGTCTACCCTTCTCCTCGATCATCACACGTTAATATTATGTAACATATAATGCTAGTATATTAATCATATGTAACATTCTTTTGTAAGTTTTATTATTATACAACTGTTAATCTCGTTCTACGAGACGGTTTTTCAACCRGAATGTCAAATACGAACTTCAAGTTTCATGTAGGTACCTATATATTACATACGGGACCACTCTTCACATCGAGTAAAATATTTTCTCCGCTGATGAAATACTATTTTTATATGCTGCCTTTAATCTGGCCCTATTATTAGTTATAACTATTATAGTCAACTAATAATCCTTCGAATGTAATATTGTATTATATTATTATATAGGTATTACTGTATTACAAGTTAGAACGCGCCCATTAATATCGCCATTATTACTATCAATCATTAGTTATTATATAGTTTATAACTATTAGGTACCTATTATTAATTATTATGGTAGTAAATATTTTACGTGACTACAACAGCTGCAGGAAATGGCACTATTAATAATTATTAATTYCTGTAGACTGTAGCAACGTCTGTCTGTATGACGTCTCTCTGATATAAAATATATCTAATGATATTCCAAAAATATAAAGTATAAGCTATTTAAGCTAATACTTTGTTATTATAATACCTATTACACAAGCACAAATAAAATTAAAAAATAAATGTCGAGACAAGCTACTACAATACAAGTATTATCCTCCATAAATAATTGAAAAATTATACTTTTCTAGATATTTAATAAAGTAATTATTATTAAAATTTTGTAGTATAAAAAAAAATCACAATACTTACACCACAAAATAAGACAATACTTCCTAGTTACTTAGTAATTATGTTACATTTCACGGAGTGGACTGTGGTTAGGAGCGGATTGTWCAACCTATTTTTTATTTTTTGCATAGCTATTTATCTACTAGGACGGACGAACGTCACAAGCTAATGCTCGAAATTATTTTGATTTAAATTGTTATCAATGATATAATTAATAAAGATTTTTATTATTATTTCATTGGTTTAGACTACCTTCTTAGTTTTTTTAATAGTTAGTTTATAATCCATCCCTAATACATATAATATCACATTATCACGCTTGTTATCAGTCTAGTGCAGTAGTGCACAGGTATGTATCTAGTATCTACAATCATTTTTTCTATTATTAAATATACATATGTATTAGTGTTGGCATGCGTCCGAATCACGAATTAAGATACTATCACATGCAGACGATAATTATTTTTATTTCCTGTTTCAACCTGTAATAGGTATTGTTATCAATATTGGAATTTGAATAGTATAAAAATGACTTTTTTTAAATGACTGAATGTATGCGATGGAGTTGGTCAAATTGAATGAATATGATTATTTAAAATCTACATTCACTTACGTAGTAACATGTTATATTATATAGGTACTTAGAATTTAAATAATACAAAGTGGATGGGAGGAGCAGTGTGGGTCTTTGCCCCAATCGAGTCTATGTTTAATAATTTTAAAATAACCATTAGGAACGCGGTTTTTAAATTACTGGATTGAGTTCCTCTACCTGTTTGATTTTTCTCAATTCGAGCTCTGTTCGCGGTATAATAACACGTACACTTTGCCATGTGCTTACAGAACAGCGTGTTCTTCGGACCATGCGTGGCTTGCCCGATGATGTTGCTGGCGTCGTTCGGTCTGGGCTACGATGAGGACGAGATCCCCGGTCTCATACGGCTGGGCATGAATTTCAGTTACCTGCGATACGGCGTCGAGGGACTAGTCATGGCCGTGTACGGCAACGGCCGCGGTCGGCTGGAGTGTCCCAAGACCGAGGACTACTGCGATCTCCGAGACCCGTCGGCGCTGTTTAAGATGGTCGGTATGTCCGAGGTGACGTACTGGGGATCGATGAGCGCCCTTTGCGGCATGTTTCTCGCGTTCAAGGTGGCGTCGTACGTGATGCTCCGACGGAGGCTCAGCACMAAACCGTCGCTGCTGCTCAAACTCGGTTTCGTCGGCCGTTTCATCAAGGCCAACTTTAACATTCCTCGCTAAGGAACCTATATATATATAACTCTATCATAATATTTATATACATATATATATATAGGTAGTATGTACATATTATAACGATTATGACTTCAATATAAGATGCGACGGTAATACGTGTATATAGAACGCCACTTCACTGCAAGTCATAATATAAATACCAAACAGCATTTGTGATATACTTTTACTTTACAATAACTATTATACAGTAAAAATTAATAATAAAATCTATGTTTATATACGTCATCGTTGTCCTAATAATAAGGTATGTATAATATGATATACGATTTGTCAACTAATTACGTAGTGATATACCACGTATCTATTATATTATATTATGTATAAATACGCGATAATGGGGAAAAGGAATGACCGATTTATAAGCGTGTAATATTTATATAGAAATAATTTTTTGGAATTTAAATAAAATTATTTTTTTATTAATTGAAACTGTATATATTATTATGTAACTAATAATATTATCGTAATATTCATAATACGAATGTTATACACATATCTATACAGGGTGATTCAACAAGCATGCTCACCCCCTTTTTTCTTTATAATAATGCAGTTATTCAAAATTTGATTTTTAGAATCTTTAAATATAGGTACGCGCAAAGATCATATTTTCAAATTCTTGAGATTTTTTGTACCACTTAAGATGTGTCCTTTAGCGACTTGTAACTTATGTTTTTCAGTTGAGAACCCCAAGTTTTTACTGTAAACTATTTAGCACATATTTTTTTTAAGAATTTTGATGTATTAAAATTAAAATTTTAATGATAAGTTTTTGAGTTATTTAACTTTGTGATCTAAAGATAAAAGGTCCATGGTTTAGGTTTATAAGATATGACGTGGTCTACAGTGGATTTGAAAATATTTGTATTTTTAATTCGTTTATATTTAAATTTAAAGGACCTGAGTATCATAAATACTAATTTCAATAGTAGATACGTGTATTTTATATTTTTGTAAAAAAATTTTTAAGGATTATTATCCTTAGTATAAAAATTTTAATAACTAAGAAACTATTCATTCAGATTTTTAATTAGGTGACTACATCATTACGTCAAATTTTTTAAAGAAATATTCTACTAAATAATTTACGGTAAAAAATGGGGGTACTCGCGTTTGAAAAACAAAATTTTGTATCGCCACAGGACACTCCTTARGTAGTACAAAAAATCTCAAAAATGTTAAAATATGATCTTTAAGTACCTACCTATACTTTAAAATTCCAAAAATTAGAATTTGAATAAATTCATTATTAAAGAAAAAATGGGGGGGGGGGTAAGCTGTATATTATACCAAATGTCCCCGAAAACAGGACGCACACACTGCACATAAAAATGATGTTATTGCGAGTGCAAAAAATACAAAAGTTGAAAATGTTAAGTTAAGAATTTTATAATCCAATGCCTATAGGTATTTTTAGTCTCATGTGCTGTCCCGTACATACGATTTAAAAGTATGTATCGAATACTAAGTAGATAAATATAATATAACTGAGCTTTAGAGTGTACGTGTAGGTACTCTGCTTTTGTGGAAGTGCGGTATACAACATTTGTCTTAGGGTCATGTTGTACACCAGTCCAGTTGATTCTAGAGATTATCTAAACTTGGTTTAATAATTGAAATTAGTTCAAAATTTGCCATGGTGTTCAATGACAATGGCAGCTTAAACTAACACGGATATAGTTAAGCTAGATTTATCAGAGCGGTCAAAGGATTACACATCACTTCAATGTTTAAACTTATAGAATTATATGAGCAGCAGACTTTCATGATATATCAACAGGTAAGTACTCTTACACGTCTGACGTAGGTACTCAGTTGCAGAGCAGTGACAAGACGGTAATTTATAATAGTTATGCTTAGATGGACGTTCAAAAAAAAAAAAAATTAAAAAATAACCAACTCTGCTACACTACAGAGTGAGTCTATTACATTGTAATAAGACTATAATATATATTACCATGTAGGTATATAGTAGAACCTTAACGTGCGCGTGCATAATTAATGTATACTTTGTAACAATGCTTATTCATGGTTTAAGATTACTATCGGATGGTTYTGCTGCAGATGCTTTAGTCTCCGGCATATTTTACAATTCATAAAGTTTATTAATGATTAAAACGTTCTGACTTATAATTTATCCGTGTGAGAGTTTRCCGACACTAAATATATATAATAGCGTAGGTACGATGATTATGGTCGATTCAAATCGGTCAGAAGATAATTTTTCATCAATTTTAATGCGTGCGAAAACAAAGAAATCCTATTGTTGATTGATCATAATAATATTTAATTCATTATTACCGTGCAAAATTGTATAATTGTAAATTTGTAACCTAAGGTAGGTACGTTTAAATGAACTAAATTATGATCAACTATTCTAAAGGGCAATAAAGTACCTACTTGTATATTTTTTAGTAGGTGTCACGTACCTAGTCAAATTTTTTTACTTATATCAACTATAATAGTATCAAGCTATTTGAGTTAAATACCTGCTATTAATTTAAAAATAACAATTTTGAATATTTTATTGAATTTGTGGTGTAGAAGAAGATGTTTGAGTCCCTATAAAAATCTTATTTAGATTATATAACTCAGAATTGATAGATAACAATAGATAAAACTATAAATAGATACTCGTACTTCAATAAAAAAACCTTCTAAATTTTTATATCGGCATATCGCACAATAATTAGTATCTACTTACATCCTGACTAATACATTGTTTGAAATAAAATTTTTAAATTACTTATATTTGATTAAGCGATGATCATAAATCTTTAACTGCAGCTAAAATAATTAWTAATTATATTCAAAATTATCGCTYGACGACCGACGTCAAATTTAATCCTGGTCTTTAAATAAATTCTAAATATAATATATTATAATAGAAATAATCAGCAGACACCGGCTGTAGATGAATTTATTCAAATAATATAATACCTATGTAAATAAGAAACACCTTTCTACCTATATAGTGTGATATTCATATTCAATTTTACGTCAAGCTATTTGGTAACAATCGCTGAATTCATTAAGTGCATTCTGAACATCATGTAATATATATATATATATATATATATTATACTACCTAGGGCCTAGGCATATACATCAATCGCAATTACATAACTTGAACTGTCAGTGTAATCACCTCAACCGCAGTTTGTTTGACGTTCATAATATCATTATTCCTTCACTCTTGGAGAGAGATTTTAAAGCAACTGTGAGTTGTGACACTATAAAATATAATACTATGTRCATAACAAAAGTACGAGCAACAAGCACGATGACCTTATGTTTTTATAGGGTGTAGAAAGGTTAGAATGTTTCACGGACTGTCGATGTCGAATCACTAGTATGAGTCCTAACCTACAACAGTCACTACGGCTGTACTATATACCTAGAAAAACTAATAGTCAATTGTCAAAAAAAAAAAAAAAAAAAACAACAGAAGAAAATATCGTCTGCATGATGTACAATATATGGTAAGTGTCGGGTTCACCTCATCATTGAATAAATCACACAGTAATGGATGGTGTTAAATTTGTATATTATGATAAATCAATGTAAAAATATACTGGATGATTCTTTTACCATTAAACACTCGTTATTTCAAAAAGTAGTTATTACTATTTTRAAAAGAAAACATTTTGCATGATTAATATTTGTTAAAACATGGGTAACACTTAAAAAATGTCTATATTTTTTACTATTATTTATTCTAATTTTTTAAATATTAATTTACAGCATACAGTTTCAATTTCATATTCCAAAGCATAGTATTTCTACATACAGATTGAATTCAGGATGATTAGATTATGAGTTATAAGTATTTAAAGGTCAGATAATCAGAGTGTAGTGGTACACAGTTACTCTGTAAAATGTTGGTTTACTACTTCACTTATCTAAACTCATCCAAAGTTTGATTTTTAAGTGTCGAAATTACCAAGAAAAAATTTATAAACATGAAATAAAAACTGTATATAATAATTCAAAAAATTATAAACCAAAAAAAAAATAACACTACAGGTACTTGGTTATATTAATATGATTTATGTTATAAATTTTTTTTGTGTTTGGGTAGGTAGTGCACATGCACTTGTGCACCTATACACAAGCCGCCACTGGTTATTAGAGCACAATGGCGATTGAGACTATGAGAACTATGAGTTAAATAAGTGGTGTATTCATACATGCCTGTCTGGTGTTATTTGAACAAAACATGTTTTTAAATATGACTTAAGTAACTGATCAAGAATAATCAAATCATATAAACTAATTTATTTATAATATATATCCTCATAACACTCCAATAAATCTGATGAAAACTATATTTCATTGTAAATATCCTCAAAATGGCAACAACAAAATTAAAATATTTTTTAATATAAAAATTGTATAATACATTACTGTGTACATAGTATACAAATTACATAGTGGTCAATAATGTGATAACTATTTTTAAGTAGTATTTTGATGGAAGCTCCATTATTCTACTACATAAGAAGTATATGTTATCATGAACACCATGTATGTAAAAATATATACAAAAATTAACTTATATTTAAATACATCATTATTATCCAAAACGGAATTATTTTTAAATTATAAAACAGATCATATATCATAATTATTTAAAAATGGAAGATCAAATAGATAAAGTTCTATGTCTAGGTGCTTTTTTTGTAAGGTTATTAAAATCTTTGCTATCAACACTGTCTATCTCTTTATCCTTTAKCATTGCTATTAAATCGTTTTCTTTTGTATAATTTATTTTGGATTTGTTATCATATGATAATTGAGTATTTTGAGTAGGACTTGGATGAAATAAATTGATATTGAAATTAACATTTGGTAATTGAGGAAGTTGAGTAGTAGTATTTTGTGATGATGTCGTTGGAAGAAAACCGTTGTTAATCCTTTTATTTGTCATATATTGGTTATTGCTGGTTGTTGATTCTGAACCAATTGTAGAATCCCCAAATCCAAATAAGTATTTCATGTTTAAACTTCGACCAACTAACAATGCACTTGATAAAAAAATTGTTTTGATGATTATAATAATAACGATAGGAATCAAAATCATTTGAGCCCAATATGGTATATCCTCTAAAAAATAACAGTGATAATATTTTTATTAACATAATATCAACATAATAGTCTAAGGATAAACTTTAAATCAAAAAATTTTTGTAAAAGATTTATTTCTCGTGGAAATAATAAAAGATAAATAGAAAATATATCTTGAATGGAATATTTCTTACTTAAAACTGATTTATTGAACACATATATAGATTCTCCTAAGGCTTCTATTGGTTTCATCATCATTTTACTAACCATTTCAGCAAATATGTCAGTTAAAGCAATAGAATATTTAGGATCCAAAAAAATCGCTTCTTTGTACTTCTTGCACTCATCTAGATAAATAAATGTAAAAATACAATTTAATTAGAATAACATGAAAAATAAAAGAAGATATTACCTAAATTGTTGGGTTGAAACCAAGAAAAAGGAGACCAGCCTCTCTTTGCTTGACATTGAGAAGGCATGTACTCTAAATGAACTCTGCGATTTATTTCGGCTTTCTGTAATTACAAAACAAACAAAAACARTGTTAACATAGGTGAAGTGTAATGCATTTTTACGGGGAGACTTTAGCCWACAATGTTTCGGTTAGGTTAGGCCCTTAGTCTCCCTTCCATCCTACACCTATAACTCTAAGCTATACAATTATCAATAAAGCTTACACATTGATTATTATTATTTTAATATTCTAATAATTACTTATTTAATACCTACTATTAATTTACAGTGAATGTCTTTACTTAAGAAATTTAATGTATTTATAAATCAATAAACAATAAAACGCTAATTTTCTTACCGTATACATGGTGTACCAGGTTGAAGCAAATGCAAGTGAAAACATAATAAATAAACCAAACGTTAGACTGAAAACATGATGAATTTTTTTAAAAGCAATATACAGTATAACAATTGAGCCAAAACCAACTGAAATCCAATACAGCACGTCTTGGTTAATCTGAAACAGTGATTAAAGTTTGATATTAATTAAAGTATTGCCCAGCCATCTTGTAATATTTAAAATCATTCTTCTTTAATTACATTTAGTGGTATATACTACTSCATAARGATACAAATACAACCAACTAGCTAGTATAACAGCAGGCAATACCTTTTTTTAGACATAATATACTTTTACATATACTTGTGTATAAGTATGATTAGGGCATGTGATAAATRGAGAAGAAAAATATAAATATAAAATAAATAGTAGAATAGTACAGTTTGATGCTCGATTGATTTAATGTCAAGTCTTGGTAAAGGGTAATATAAGAGACAAAATATGGTGCATTTATGAATTTGAGGCATCAACATTGTACATTAAAATAACTATCAATAAACTATTTGCCATGAAACGACGATCTATTTGTTTATCTACTAATCTGTAATCAAATAAATGTTTTCTATACTTATTAAAAAGTATTTATAATGACATGTTAAATGACATTATGTTTAGTATTTACCTAATCAACTATAAAAATGTCTAATCATAAGTAACAAATTGAATGAATAAAAAGAACAGTTAGATACCAGATCATGTATTTTTAAACTGCTTTCTTCTTGAGTGGAGTTCATTTTCACTGGAGTAAATAAGCCTCTTAAAATTCGATCAATTTCTGTATAATCTATATCCTTTTTATTGACCATGTGTTTTATAAGTTCAAAATCTTGAACACTAAGGGTCACTGATGTATACAACTTCAGCTCTTTATTTTTACCATTGTTTGACAGTTGATCAATGTTCTAAAAAGAAACCACAATATCAAATAGAATACAACACTGTTCACATGCAAGTCTTTGAAGTATATTAAGTACAGATAAATAATAAATATACACACTTACATCTGTTAGCCCAGTGTTCATTAACAGTATATTGATAAATCTTAAAAGGAAAACTGTACAACGGTCATTTTGAACAGGATTATCAGTTATTGTTTTTGGTGTAGGATTTTTCATTGATTTAGACAACCTATCGTAGTTGAGCATATCTAACGGATCGACGAATTCGTTTGCTAAACATTTTAGGGTATACTCACTAGATAAACACAAAACCAAAACGGTGATAGAAATAACTCTCATTGTAATTTATACTGTTTACACATTAATAATAATAAAGAAAACGACACAATCCATAACTACTCACTACCTAACTAGTAACTAACTAAGTATCAACTACTRTAAAGTAACTTAAAAATAAAAAATATAAAATACTGCAGGTTATGTATGTTAGGTAACAAAACAAACAAACAATAACATTGTCTCAAAAGTTAAAATTACTATTTAAGATAGTTTGATTGCTTAACGATCTATGATAAGATATCATAGGATATTAATCCCGATGCCGATACTAGCGTTTTTAGTGGACTATTCTCTTTACACTACTACTTTCAGTTTTCACTAGTGTTACTTTTTCATTTTATTAATGTCTACTATACAACTAATTATCAAATATTTTAAGTAAACAATAAAATAAACATTCATTATTAACTGACTTTTAATTGTAAACAATTTTAACAAATTTTAATTTATCATCGGTACCACTTGTTATAGTGTTGRTAACTGGAAAGTTACTTTTGGAAAGTAGTTTACGTTACTTTACTCGTTACTTAGAATTTAGAAATAAATGTAATAAAGTTATTTTACTCGTTGTTCGTTACTCAAATAAAATTGTGATGAAATTACTTTACTTTCCAAATAGAAATGTATATCTACATTATTTGTTCGTTATAAACTTTTTTTTTTATTTCATAGCAATTATAATTCTGCCTAGCAATACTATAACTACAAGTACATTACGTCATTACCTATAGTAAAAAAGTAAAGTTTGAAAATATACAGTTAAATGTTAATACATAAGTCCATAACAATATTAATTCTTTATAACTATTAAAAAATAGTACTAATTAGTAATTAATATTAATTGTACTTATCAATAATAAATGATTATTATTATATAGGCCATACCCACCATAATATGGTAGGTATAATATTATGTAATAAATCACTCATTCATTAAATAAATCAACGTGTTAAAATAAATAAATATTTTAATTATTTAATTATTATTTTATTAATTAGAATACAATATTATTATTAATTTGTTTTTTAAACTAACTTTATATTATAAAGTATTTTCAAAGTTTCYAATTTTCAATCACTAATACGCGGTCTTTTTTTAGAACAAATTTTTTCACATGAACATTTTTTCCATTTTCTGATTGATTTAAAATTGAAAAAAAAACTTATTGTAAGTCGGCCTAATATAGAACTTATTATCTAACTTAATTAAATTATTAAAATAAACCGTTTCTTATAAATGCCAAATGGCTAAAATAATTATTTATATCTAAATACTTTGATTTATCATTTAACAGTAATTACTATAAGTACTAACCAACTAAGAACTAACCAAAATATAATGTTATTTTCTAATGTAAATTGTAAATATAGTGATACCTAACTTTGTGTACTATGTGAACCCAGTGCCGGCGGTATGATTCGCGAGGCCCTGTGCAAATTATAAACGCAAGGCCTCGCACCTAAATCCAAATTATCATATTTCATTGGTAAATAAATAATTAAAATATTTTAATAATAAAATAGTTTTTTTTTTTAAATTTGTATTAAATATTTTATATTTTTTTCACTGTCAATAGTTGTGCAATAAGAA